TATTGATAGTGATGATATAAGAATAATTTAAAACTCTATTGGAATCAAACTACCAAAGCTAAAGTGGAGGATGAGTTCTCAGACGAAATAAAAATAAAACAAGGAGTGAGACAAACTTGTGTTTTATCTCCTTTGTTATTCAATATTTACAGTGAAGCAATATTTGAAGAAACTATCCTTTAGTTAGTTAATTTAATTGTTAGGAAAATTAATTGTTAATTAATTAAATAGAATTTAATTAACAAACTATAATTTATCAACAACCTATGATATGCTGATGATACAGTCATTTTGACATGTTCCATAGCTCATCTGCAAAGAAGCATGGACAGGCTCTATGTTGCATGCAACAAGTATGGACTTGAGATGAATGCTAAAATAACAAAATTCATGTTAATAGAAATAGATCAAATAGACAATCGCAATGATAAAGCCAAATTAATTTTGAACAACGCCATAATAGAAAAAGTATATTCATACAAGTATCTTAGAACATGGATTAATAGTAACGAGGATAACTTAAAAGAGATCAAATGTCGAATTGAAATTGCTAGATCAACATTCTCTAGATTAAGAAAAAGTTTTTCAAACCGAGATCTACCTTTAGGTTTAAGAACTAAGATGTTGAAGTGCTACGTATATTCTACCCTATTGTATGTAATGGAAGCTTGGACATTGAAGAAAGAAAATATTCAAAAATTACAAGCATTTGAGATGTAATGTTTCTGTAGAATTCTTAATATAACTTGGGCTGATAAAATTACAAACGCAGAAGTTTTGATGAGATTAACAAAGAACCAGAGGTGATAAACAATATAAAATCTAGAAAGTTTCAATATTTATGCTGAGGGGCGAGAAATATCAACTCTTACATTTATTAATACAGGGAAAAATTTGCGGTAAAAGGAGCAGGGGGAGAACCAAAACAAACTTTCTGCAAAATTTAGGAAAGAGGTCCCAATGCAACTTTAAGTAACTATTCAGTACAGTAAAGAACAAAGACCTTATAGCCATGATGATTTCCAACCTTCGATAGAAGAGTAACATCTAACAACAGAAGAAGATAATTTTTTGAAAAATGTAGGGATTAATATTATTCTTTAGCTTTGATGCGAAGCTGAGAAGGTATTAATTTTACTATGATGCGTTTTTTTTTTTAATTTGCTTATAAATACTTTCTATATACCCCTTTCATCCGACATACTTTTTTTTTTAATTAGACCATTTTCCTTCATTAAAAGGGGGGGGGGTAAAATTTTAAATATATGTATAGAAAATAGAACATTTTCAACTTAACTTTTGAAAATGTTCCGAAAATACTGAAACTTTTATATGTAACTTAAATTAAAGCTTATGTAATATACTTCATTTAAAAAAAATAAATTGACCTCTGGACATGTCTTCATAGTGAAAATAATCATTGAATTCAAAAATATGCTGTATTTGTGTTAAAATTCTGGGCTTTGTATTTTATTTTAAAATATCTTACAAGGGGAGTACACAGATTTTCATAAATATTGTTGTGCGGGCCCACGTGGTAAAGGATTTAAATTTAATAAAAAAACAAAACACTCACTTTTATATACAACGTTAATTATTAATATTAATAAAAATGAATAGGATAATGAAATAGAATGACATAGAATGATGTAAAATGAAGTAAAATGAGTGTAACTAGCGCATACTAAAACACGATTGACTGTAGGGGACCTACAGTGGGAGTGCTTTGCCCATAGTTGCCCTAAATACCTAGGTCAGCACATTCCTGTGTCCGACTGCAGTCGGACGACTAAGTACTCTATACTCTATTTAATTATAAAATAAAATTCAGGGTTTCTTAACAATATTATATAAACCTAATTGACGAAGTATAGAAAGTTAAACTTATTTTAAGTCGAGAAAAATAACTTTGAAAATCGAACTAGATTAAATTGCCTTTTTTATGATTCGTTGACTGATTACAATTCGTATTGTAAGGGGCTAGTTTAATACTTGTGGATCTAGTTAAAAACCAAGAATCGGGAGCTACCCGATGTCTGCCCAAATATCGTCCCTGTCTCCTTAAATGAGTTTTAATTACCTAAAGAATTGTGTACCTTAGTTACAGGGGATAAATTATTAAATAAAGTTAAACTATTGTTTTATGTCAACGACAAGGTAAAGTTATATTTCAGATATTCAGTAAATATAAGTTATATGTAATGTACTATACGTCTGACCTGAATCCTAGTACAGTTGGTTTGTAGGTATATCCAAGTGAGACGAGTCGTTGAATAAAACAAGTTAAGTTATTAATAATATAAATAAGATGAGAGTAATTGAAATTAATAGTAATAGTAACAGTAATTGAAAACTATGTCTATAACGGCCACTCAAACACAACTGCCCTTTGTTAGTTCGACGTTAGTAGCTCCAAACTACAGACGATTGGAATTGTCAAATCAGCAATTCCACCTATGATAATTAATATGTTTACGAATTGAGTAAATGAAAATAAAACGTGTATAATATAATTGATAATAACATAGTAATAAATGTTCTTTCAGTATGTAGTTGAAGATATTACCTTCAAAATTTCTAATTTATCAATATATATAACAGTTACTTAACCCACGTTCTCCATATTAATAATTAAAATTAATCATTTATAATGTTTTCAAAGGATCAACTAAAAAATTAATCATTTTACTTTGTAATATATTTAATTCTTTTACTTTATTTGTGTGTGCTACTGCCAGTCTAAAATATTCCAAATTTTTTGGTAACAAGCTATATAAATGATTTCTTAAAAAAATTATTTTTTATTTCACTTGAATTTAACAATGGACTTTTACAATTATAATCGAATTTTATTATACGTTCAATTAAGTAGATCTATTTAACAACTTTTGATTGGTTTTTTTAGTTAAAGTAAATCTTTAAAATAAATTCAGTTCTGTATGTTTCAATTGTAGAATCTTTTTAAATGTTTATTATGTTAATGTTATTATTAATTTATTATGTTTATTATGATTTCTATTAAATGATCTATTAAGATAAAAATGCAAAAAAAATACAGCTTTTTTTAATAAATAGTAATTATAAAATTTGCTGATTGCATATTAATATTAACAATTTCAATTTTTTTCTATTTAATGATGTCAATTTCAAACTTGTAAGTTGAGATAAAAGTTATGGTAATAAATTCATTTTTTTATTATTATAAACTTTCACTTTAAAGGACGTAAAAAACTAGGTTAGAAATTATTACTTTTAACATATTAAAAATAAAAATAAATAGTAATTTAAAAGAATTAATTATAAAAATTATATGAAATGTAATTAAAAATATTTTGCTTTTGTAATTATCCATCAATTTCTTAGAATTAAACACTATCTACAGATTTGCATCGAAGCATTTCTTATGATAGTGATTTCAATCACTGTCAGGTATCATCTATACTTGTACAGAATAATCAATAAAATAATCAAGTAGTATTTATAAAGCACTAGCGATAAAATTGTAATTACAGTGCGAAAGTTTATATCCGTAAGTATATATACATATATATATAGGGTTGTAATAATAATATATGGTTATATGTAAGTTTGGTAATTAAATATATTGATGCCTAGTCTCCCTAAATTATTTATTCTGCAAATAACAAAAAGTATTGTAATAGAAATTGTTTTTTTAAGAGTTTATAGGTATTAAATAGTACATTCTGATTATTCAAGGGAAAAAAGTTAAAAAAACTTACCTTAGAATAATTATACCTTGCGTTTTAGAGCTCTAAAGTTATAGTAACATAAGTTAAATTCGTAATTCCTATAATAACTCAAACTAACGTACGTGCACGTGTGTTTTACTAGCGAGTAATCATAAGAACCATATGAGGTATTTATGTTAGATATGATATACTGCTATCTGTGATAATTTTTTACACGTAAGTATATAAAAAAATACTGATGGTGGGTGAATACAATATCATAAGTGTTGATAATTTGGGTAAATTATAATTATTTGGTAAAATTTAATAAACAACTGTGTTAAAAATTTTGCAACTCTAAAAATAATATTATAATACATAGAATTAAAAAATAATGAAATATATTAAAAAATAATTATATTAGCTTACAAAATGATATAAGATTGGGAAAAAGAAGGAGCACATTTTACCATTTTGTATAATTAACGTTTTGAACTTAATAACTAGAAATATTTTAAACCAATCACTCTCTTTTATTTTTTTTATTCTAACAATGATATATTCAATGTCGTATATGCTCGTCATGAGATTATTCTAAAAAAATGAGTTGCCATATTCATTGGAATTGAACTAATCATTCGAAAATAACAGAATAAGAATTTAATATTTCATAATTTAGTTAATTAATGCAAGAATATAAGGTTATAGTTTTACGATTTGATAGTCAATTATTTGTATTTAGATTAAGAAATTAAAATTACAATTGGAACAAATTTCAAGATTTCTGGCTATCTATTAATTTCAACACGATAAATTCTAAGAAATGGATAATCAAGAAGAAAAAAAATACATCATTAACTATCATTTATTGAAGATTTTCAAAATGTATCATTTATTTTATCCAAAAAACAAACCTGGCTTTAAAATTGGAAAGTACAACATAAACTATTATGCTATTAATCCATTTCTTGTATTACTAGAGTTAATAACAATTATAGCTTGTTTTATTGGGTTTTTCTTCGTGTTTAATGATTTGTACGCATTTTTTCAATTATCATTATCGTTCCTATGTGGTTTTAATACAATTTTCAAATCTATAAGATTTACGCGGAAATTTAATGAACTATGGAAATTATTTGATGTGATGAGAGATGATTTTTTATCACATAATTGTCATAGAGATGATATATTTCAACATTATAAGAAAAAATGCATTGTAGTGATCAATGTTTATGCGTCAATATGGTTCACATCTTTTTTGTTTTGGATTTTAAATCCTTTTTTGATGAAAGAGATCTCTGTAGAAAATCGACAAGGCATTTTTGTTATTTATAGAAATTCTCCACTCAATGTTTTTTTGGCTTTCATGTCTCATGAACAATATGAAAAGATGTACACATTCGTCTATTTAATAGAATCAGCTGTTGTTGCGAATGTAATTTTAGACCTTATACTACATGACATTGCCGTTATTGAATTATGTTGGATGTTGTCTGCACAATTAAAAATGATTGCTTCTAAATATGAGACTTTCGGCTATCAACTTATAAATAACGGTAAGTTTATATTTAATAACTTTTCTAATTAAGAACATTAATATTTTATTAATCAGTAAATTTTTATTTGAAGAAGAATCAAATAACAACAGTTCTGTTGACAATTTCAGGAATATAATTTTAAATCACATAAAAATAATAACGTAAGTTGTGGTTTTTAGTAAAATTTGAAATAGTTTTTCTATTTTTTAAGTTTGTTCATCTGAATAATATCATATGCTCTATAGCTGGACAACACATACACAGCTTACAGTAGGATATTAAAGGTATACAAAGAAAAGTACAGATTTATAGAGAATATAAAGTATATAATATTATTAGATATAGTGTATATTATAAACTATATCTAATGCAGTGTATTATCATAGAACAACCTTCGGTATCCCAAACCGGAGTCCCCTACATCTCGTTTTCATTATTTGTTATATGTTTTTATCTAGATTGAAGTATTTTGGAATATTCAAATTATCTATAGATAATTACGGAAATCTTGTTAGTTGTCTTATACGTCTACATCTAAGAAGTTAATTTGTTGTGATTTTATATAACATTCTATACGAATTCACTATTTGATACATACATATTATAATAAGTTCCATGGAATAATTTGAGTTGTATTAGATAATGTTTAGTTATTTTATTTAATAACGAAACATACTTATATTCACAAATTATTTTTATTTATTGATTTTGGGAAGTTCATTTTTATGTATTAAATCATCCTTCAATGTAAACCTTACATTGAGTCTTAAAGAAATTTAAATGCAAAATAATAGTCAACACAAAGATATTGTAGTAAATAATTCAGGAGACAAAGCACAAGAAAATGAAGTTTTTTTATATGGAAACCAGTATTTCAGTAAAGAAGATTTTATGAATTATAGATAATTTACTACTTTTCATATTTATGTAAATCTAAAAATTTTTGAAATATGAAAAATATCCAAAAGTTTGTTTTTAAAATTGTTTTAATCTAATTATAGCATAAAGAATAAAACCTAAAAATTTAAGAAAAATATGAGGTGGTCTTGAAACCACTTCTGGAAGATTTGGCATGGATTGACCCATATGTGTACTATTTCCAATCCAAAAAAAAATATATATTTATTCGTTTTTTAATGGACAATTTTAGTTTGATTGGGTTTATATTTTTTAACGTAAATGAGACCCATAGGCACTTTTTTATGTTCAATATTAAATTAATTTTTTTAGAGATTATGAGATTTATCAATTCATGTAAAATTGATTTTTGTGGAAAATTGTAACTTAGTTTTTGAAATATTGTACAGTAATCGTAAAATTTCGCTGTGCACATTATCCAAATATTTTTATTATTTTTATTTTATATAATTTTCTGAAGAATAAAATATATCTTTATAAGAAACAAAAAAATTGCTATAGACGAGATTAAGTGTATTTAAATGTGTGATCCCATCCTAACAATGTAATATGTAATTTTTTTGTTATGATAATTAAAAAGTAATAGCACCATTTATTATTTTTTTTTTTACCTATTTATATATGATATTATTGCAGGGAAATTAAACATTTTTATGAACTTATCAAACCTATAACAATAGTTCAATTGGGAATTATGTCTAATGTTTTTATCGCGTTGACTTTTATGTGCGTTTTGGTAAGATCATATGCATTGGTTATGAAAGTGTCTTACAATTTAAATCAAATACATCTTGATAAATCATATAATGGCTCTATTTCATCATTTAAGGGAGATATGTAGAATTCAGGTTATTGGTTAATATTAATAACTTTGATAATTGACAAACAATTAATATATTTTGGTAGATAAATAAATCTAATTATATGAAGTGTCATAACAGATTTTGATAAATTTAATAACTTTTTATGCATCAAATATTTTGTGGTAATTTCTTTTAAGATAATTTTACATTTTTGGATTGCTTTATTTGTTATTAAATATGTTTAATATATAATATTAAATTAATATACATTATATTTACATTATTTTTAAGATATTAATTTTTTAATAAGCGGTCATATTAAAAATATTTAAATATGTATAAACAGTAATTATAAATAACATTACGCATATTTTTATCAGCTAACCCCGATCCCAAGTCTCGGGGGCATAATTTTTATTATATGACAATCATTTATGTAAATTCTGTATAATTTTTTTATAAAATAATAAAAGATTAGAAATTAGACCAAGAAGTCAAAATAATTACTTTATCTTGAAATTAAAAAAAAATATACCAAAATAACTAGAGGTAATTCATTTATAATGTATCACATAATTAATCAAAATATAAAATTAAATATTTGTTTATTTTGTTTCTTTTAGGTAAATGTTTTTCTCAATTTATCTATAGTAAAGTACTTTTTATGTTCATCCCTTATAAGGGTGTCTAATTTATTTTTCAAATGACAACACACATAATTAACTAGCACATTTATTAAATACTGGTCTAATAAAGATAATTTATGGTCGATAACTTTTGGACCAGATTTTGAAAGTTATTGAAATTTTTATTTTCAAACGAAAAAAATGTTTTTATTATATAGTACTCTTTAGTCTATAGTATAGAGTACAGAGTAAAAATTATAAATAATAAATTAATATGAATAATAATTAAAAAATTTAACATTAAGCTAAATTTGTTTGCGTTGTATTTTTTTTGTGTCTAAATTTTTAGTAAGCTTCTTAAGATTGGTTAAAATGATGTAAGAGCAGTTCTTAGTAATTCTGTCATAGCATCTCACCTCGAACAATTACTATAAAATCACTAATTAAAAATAGGTTATCGGCCAGTTATGTTCTTAATTAGATTATAATCTATTATATAAACTATTTAAATATGAAAAATATTTAAAAATATAAATTTGACAACCTTATAATATATAAGGTATATACAAGATAAAAACACTTTGATTAATAAATTGAGAAAAATATGTACCTTAAAGTAATCAATAAAAAATTTTCAATATTTTTTAGCTTTGATGCGAAGCTGAGAAGGTATTTTTTTACTATCATGTTTTTTTTTTTTATTTAAATTTTTTTTTTTTTTTTTTTCTGTTACGACTTTTACTCAACTCTCACCAAACCAATTTCTTTCAATGATACGTCAAAAGATCATAAATTGTATCTAGTCGAAGACATTACCCTCAAAAATTGAAAGAATTTCCTTCTTTCTCCGTATATGGGAGAAATCTGCAAAAAAATTACAAATTTAAAAAACGCTCATTTTTTCAATTTTTTTTACGTAAAACTGCAATAACATTTTCAAAAATGACCTAATCAATATCATTTTTTTTTTATAGATACATGATGTCTTTACCTATCATTTGATACATACTTTTTATAAGTCTGATTTTTTAATATACTTTATTATGGAAATAAATAATTTTGGACATTATTTTGTTTTTACGGTGAAAACAGACATTAAAGTTAATACAAAATATATGATTTTAGTAAACAATTTCTTTTTCATATTTTTAACTTTACATTAATTTTTTTAAATTAAAAATTATCTACAGATTTGTATCGAAGCATTTTTTATGATAGTGATTTTAATCACTATCAGATATCATCTATACTAGACCTAACTATGCCACGTCCCCACTGTGCTAAATGAGTCATTTTGTCTACTTCAACATTTTTTAAAAATATTAATATGAAATTTTTTTATAGTTTTATTTCAGTAGTGGAATGTTATTGTCAGTGATATTTTTGAAGCTCCTATGCACTTTATTAGGAGTAATGTTGCATTTGTTTATCTCAGGCTATTTTTTCGGTTATTTAGAAAATGAGGTATATAATTTTAATTAAAATAAATATAAAATTTAAGCAAAACTAATTTTGAAGGAATTTAGTCTTTACTGACTATAATTAATAGAAAAATAAATTAGGCCATTAAAAAAATCAGAGATTCCATAAACAAAAATTAATTGAGCCTTCCAAAAGTTTTCTTTTAAAATGTGTCTATTCATTTTGTTTTATTGTTTTAATATAAATATTTATAATTATATAAGATGGGTTCCCATTTCAAGAATACCGTTTTAATGGATATGATATGAATTTCGTCCTGGAAATTTGTTCTATTAGAACAAACTAATATAGTTCTATTAGAACTATATTTTCTATTATTATTTCATTATTTACGTCTTATTTAGACACAATTTATCTGAGCCTTTTTAAAAATAGATTGATAAAATGCTATTAAAATTTTAATACTTTTTATTTCTGTAATTTTAAAATTTGAGTATTGTTTACTTGAATGTTCTTTTACTACCTGTAATAAACATTAAAATTATTCAGTATTTTAGTGAATATTTTCTTTGATAATATAATATTTGATTTTTATCGTAAGCAATAAACTTTTAATTTTTAATACTATAATATATTATGATTTTTAGAGGAATTCTATAATTTTTGCTCTCTATAGTTGTAATTGGATAGATCAAAATATGAAATTTAAAGAAATGTTATTAATGGCTTTTAGAATGAATAATGGTTGTAATGTAGTCATGCGGCTGACACCAACAAAGTTTGTCAACATAGAAATGTTTGCCAAAGTAAACATATTTTTCAAATTTTACTTATAAATTTATTATTAAACAAAATATAACATTTAGGTAATGAACATAACATATTCAATCATATCGGTATTGACAAAAAAAAAGCTATTAGAAAAATAAAATTTGAATTCATTAAAATCAAATAAAAAATAAAATGGCAAAATATGTTGTGAATATTATCTAAATTTGAAAAAATTAGTAAAAAAGTAAATAAAATTTAAGTTTAAGTAAATTTTTAGCCAATATAATTCAAATATATTAAATAAAATTATCGTTAACAACTTATTTGAGTTTTGTAATTAAAAAAAAAAAATTTTAGTGGTCCAAATTTAAATAGTCAAAAAATATTAGTGTTATAATTATTTAACAAGTTAAATATAAATAAAATATAATAAATATAAAGTAGACTTAAATGGTTTGGTCATGTTATGAGGAAATTGGAATCGGAAGCTCGAGGATGACCAAAAAGAATTGAGGGATGTTACTGAATGTGATATGAAGTGAGTCGATGAGTGCGTAGGTGATATGGGAGATCGTGTAACGTGGATTGTTAGAATAGGGTGGCTGACTCCAAGTATTTGGGATAATGACCAGGAAAAAAGAAGAAATATAAATAAATAATGAATTTACAAAGAAATGTATACAAAAAGATAGCGTAAAAATGGGTTTATAACTACAGGATTGTAATAATATATGGTTAAATGCAAGTTTGATAATTAAATATATTGTGTAATAAACCAAAAAATAAAAAAAACTGCAAAGGACTTTAAAATAAAAATGTAAAAATAAATAAATAATCATAAATATGTATAAAAAAATATTTGAGATTAATGTTAGAATATAATAGAAATAGAATTGATTTAATCGGGTAATTGTTTGGAATATTAAATGATTTGAATTAATATAATTTTGTAGTGTTTTGGTGTTTATATTCATTACAAAATACTACAATTAAAATTTATAATAATTAATAATTTTTAATAATGAAAAATGATTTTATACAACATAAAAAAAGAGTACAAATAAAAAGTGTCACTGGATTGACGAACAGCGCGAGACTAAAAAAAATACACGGAGTGTTATCGTACTGCAGTACATCTAAGATAAAACATATAAACATATATAAACGCATTCATTGTGACATGTTATTTAACATCTTTGTTAATCCCTACAATTTTATTCAATCTATTAATTCTCTCATTAATTATTTAATTTTTATTATTGGTTTATTACGCAATTGATTGCTAGAGGTTGGAATAAGTTAAATTTGTACTAACCTCGTATCCTATTTCAATTATTATAAAATCACACAAACTAATAATTCACGAAAATACCAATTGACTAATAACATTAAAGCTAATAATAACAAATTGACTAATAACATTAAAGCTAATAATAACAAATTGACTAATAATATAATGTAAACAGGAACTTTGTTGAAATTGTAACTGTAAGTTATAAGTAACTAGCAATACAAGAAGCAAATGTTACCTACATAAGGCCAACAGTGAACAACACAAAAACACAATATTTAAAGTACCGACTTGGCGCATACTTAATAAGAGAAATGAACATACCAACTTAGCGCACATTCTGAATAGAAATATTTTTCACTATCTAAATGTATTTTCAACTAGATAATAATAATACAACCAATAATATGAACAATAAATAACTCACAGTAACGCAGATGAAAGGTAGTGAGCACTGGACAATTGTAAACACCTAAAACAAAATTATATAGCACCAATACAAAATACAATAATAATAATTAAGTAATTCCTATACACAATATATTAATATGCACTTAAATTTGCTTCACAATATAATAATTAAAAAAAAATAGGGACTTTTTTAGCAGTTCTTCTCTTATATTCAGCAAAAATTACACAAAAGAAAAGAAACGAATTTATTTTGAATCATACATAAAAAACATACATACCAACCCTTTTTACAAAAATTATAGTTCAGACACATCTGAAATATCTTCCTTCTCTATTTCCTGTCCAACCATACAAGAACAACTGATTTCTGTTCCTACATTATCTTTAAAGATTTGCTCAAATGTATATTTTGTTGGGTATCTCGGTAAAAAATTGTTAGATAAATTTCCATGTAAACCATGTGAAATTTATGAAAGAGGATACAAATTTTTTAATGACAAAGAATTTAATTTTTTTATAAAACATTTCAAACACAAAATCAAATAATTTCTAGCAAGTTTGTAACGTGACAAAAGTATCTGGTTGTTTTTTTTTGTCTATTTGTATATATATATTTGTGTTGAGCCGAATGCGGACTNGTTGAAAAAACCAAAAGAAATTTGAATACATTTTGTTACTAATGCTCAACAGATAATTCATCATTTTTTAAATGAAAAGTCGTATACAACTCAATTAAGTTTTAAATTACATAGTATAATCTCAAATTAATTATATCCTATTATAAACACTTCACAAGAGTACTTGTCACACTTAGAATATTTAACTTTAACTTTAATACATAGTATACTTTTTAGAATATTTAACTTGAAGTTAAAATTTCATAAGATGGGCTTTGCGGATAAATTAAAGATTCTAAGAGGAAATTAATATTATTATTGGATGAAACTATCTTAACTTCTTATTTTATCATTTTTAGTGATCTGAACTTTGGTTAAAATTGCTTTATTTGTATGAATATTTTTTTCTAAAATATTTATAATTTGTTTTTTTTTTTAATATTTCATTGTATATTTGAAAAATTAAATTATTAATTTTATACATGAAAACCTTATAAAATGTGTAATTATTTATAAATATTTCATTTTGACTTGATTACTGGTAAGTTAAGAAATTAAACACCAAATAAGAAATCGCCTTTTGGTAACAACTGATTCTTATCTTAATTTGCGCTAACGGTGTTATTATTAAATATTTAATATTTCTCGAGAGGATATATAGCGCTATCTCTACGGGTATAAATTAACAAACAATCGGTTGCCAATTGTCTGAATGCCGTGGCCTATCTATGTGTATTTAATCTATGATGCTAAGCTAAACAGGACATCTTCATGGTGGAAATGGCTAACGTATTCAAAAATATTCTATTTTTGTGTTATAATTCTCGGTTTTGTATTTTATTTTACTTTAAAATACCTTACAAAGGATTTTTGAATTCTTTGAAGATAAAACTTTTAACTCATTTGATTTTTATCTCATTTAGATTCTATAACTTCAATGAATATCAAGAATCCCATCACTGTAATCTTCCTCTGTAAGAAAAAATTTCTTATTCATATTAAATATCAAATTATTTAAATTTTCTCAATTCTCATTCGACCAATTTTTTTACGATTCGTCAAATGATCACAATTATTATCTAGTTAATGATGTTACCCTCAAAAATTTAAATAAATTCCCCTTTATCAAATAAACAGTTGCTTAATCAGTTTTTTCCATATGGACAATTAAAATCATTCATTTCTAATATTTTTAAAGTATTTATTGTCAAATTAGGTTAGATATGCTAATTGGTTTTAACTACAAAATTAAATAATTTTCTTTGTAATTTATTAATTTTTTAACTCTATTTGTGTGTGTTATTACCAGTCTATAATATTCCAATTCTTTTGGTAATATAATAATTATATGTAATAATTATACAATATACTATTATAAAAATATAATAAATATATATATGCTACATAATAATTTCTAAAGAAAAAATGATTTTTAGTTTCACCTGAATTTAATAAAAAATTTTTACTATTATAATCAAATTTTATAATACGCTCAATTGAGTAGATTTTTATAACAACTTTTTGATTGGTTTTTTTAATTAAAGTAAATCATTAAAATTAATTCAGTTCTGCATATTTCAATTGTAGAATCTTTTAAATACCAAAAGTACTTAGAAATTATTAGTATAATTTCTATTTAAGTGATCTATTACAATAAAAATGCAAAAAAAATATTGAACTCTTTTGATAAATTTACAGTAAATAGTAATTATACAATTTCCTAGCTGCATATTAATCTTAACAATACTATTTTTTAATTCTCATAAAATTTTCTATCAAAGAATCAGCGGCGTATTTATATGCAGTCAATATAGGCAGCAGCCTACAGCGCCATATTTTAGGGGCGGCAAATATTAAAGGCCAACAAATTTATAAAAATCGAGTTATTTATTTATTGTTGTTAAGACATATTGACTTCCTAATAATTATAATTATCAAAATCGTTTCATTTATTGTGTATTAATGATATATACAGAGTGGCCCACCACTCACTGACAACTTAAATAACTTTTGATCCAGTTAATATTTTTAGCTGATTTTTTTTTTAAATATTAGTTAGACGTTAGGTCCATAGCTATATCTCAATAATTAATTTTTTTACATTTTATTAAAAATATTAATTATTTTTAAATTTTAAATAAAATGTAAAAAAAAAATCTAAGATAGCTATTTTGTAGAGTAGAATTTAAGAAAAATTTTAGTAAAAAAATATCTTATTAATATTCAGTAGTAAATATTCTGTAGCGTTTTGAAGTTTGTGAAAATTTGAATTTTCATGTACTATTTTACGGTATTAAACATTGAAATACGTATTGAGAAAAGGACAGAAGAAAACGCTATCTTTTCAATATACTTTTGAATGAGAGTGATAAGTAATAATTGCCTTATCTAATTTCTTATCATGGTATTTATGCCAAGTTTGTAATGTATACACACTATCATCATATGTATACACAGTAATCATGAAAAGATAGCGTTTTCTTCTGTCCTTTTCTCAATACGTATTTCAATGTTTAATACCGTAAAATAGTACATGAAAATTCAAATTTTCACAAACTTCAAAACGCTACAGAATATTTACTACTGAATATTAATAAGATATTTTTTTACTAAAATTTTTCTTAAATTCTACTCTACAAAATAGCTATCTTAGATTTTTTTTTTACATTTTATTTAAAATTTAAAAATAATTAATATTTTTAATAAAATGTAAAAAAATTAATTATTGAGATATAGCTATGGACCTAACGTCTAACTAATATTTAAAAAAAAAATCAGCTAAAAATATTAACTGGATCAAAAGTTATTTAAGTTGTCAGTGAGTGGTGGGCCACTCTGTATATTAATAGCTATAAGCAATTTATTTTATGATTTATTAAAATTTATTTTGT